GGGCTTGGGATTGTATTTTTGGACTGAAAAATCACCAGGCATAGACTTTGCTGCTTTACTTACCTGTAAGTTCCAGCTATGTTACTGTACTTGCTATACTTACTGTACTGCTAATACCACTACTGCCCATTTCCAAAGGGCCATCTGTGAAAGTCATGTTTTCAACTCGAAGTACTTGATCAGGATGAACAGGAATGAATTTGTTGAACCTTTGATGCTTGCTGGAGTTAGCCCATTGCTTTAAATGGTGCTTTTAATTCGAAGTGTGTTTATATGAGTTCTGTAACTTAAGCATGTCCCTGCAAAACTCTTGAACTGCACTGGTATGACAGTTTTGTGTGAGCTGAGGTTCTTGAAGCATTTATAAGCCTTTAAAGCGAGCTTGTTTCAGCTGATACTGCTACACGAGATGTGACCTTTCTGGTAGCTCATAAACCCCTTGAAGCAGCTGTGTTAATATTCCGTGTGCAGACTGAACATAGTCTTCAGGAGTGTTACATTACACCAGCAGTAAAACCGATTTAGTAACTTACTGCCACGCTGGTTTGATAATGGCTATAACCATTGTAAGGATACAGAGTAGTGACTGGAATATGACCTTTTGGTACTGAAACCCAAGTTGTTACCTAGCATACATATTTTGAAGACTGCAGGGCTGCATGATGCTATGCAAGGGCTGAAGAAAGCAGTCCCTCTTCTGTCTGCAAATAGCACTTTGTGCAGAGGAAAAAAAGTGAGACGTGAGAGCACTTTGAAGTAGGTTATTGCTGTTTGGTGATTCCTTTGGCCTCTTCCAGACTGATTTATCATACTGGAGGGATTGTTTTACTATTGGCTGTGAGATTGTAAGAGTGAAGTGATTTGGAATATGCATTGCAGTGAGCCAAACACACATGATGTGTATTTTTTTGGCTCTCTGGTGAATTCTATAATATGGTTCCCTTGATCTGGATTACTGTAGTCTGCAGAAGCAGCTTGAAACCTGGGCTACACCAGCAGAGTTCTCTTAAGTGCTCCAGTTTTGTGTTGGGTCAACAGGTATACAAAGTTCACAAGTCATTTTTCCAAAGAAGGACCATCACAACATGTTATTAGCATGTTATGCCCTTCAGCTCCTTTGAAGAGCATACTGTTAAGAAACCAGGGTATGAAATAAAAAGGGTTCTTTTTTATTGTTGTTTTTTTTTGTTACTTGCTGCCAAGGCTGTCAGCACTGACCAAAAGCATACCATGGCTGATTTGTTGTTGCTTTTCCTCAGTTACGTGTGCCAATTCTTGCTGGGTTCTTCCACTGCAGTATATTGTTTACATATGTAGCTATTACTCAGTGATAAATTTGATACTCAAAAGTTAATCAGAGGTTAGCAGAGGACTCTCTTCTGGGTTGAATTCAACACCTTTGGGGATCAGTGCTCTATCTTACAAGGTTCATGTTTTTTTAGAGATGAAGATCATGTCTGAGAAGGATATATCCTTTTAAAAATGTTACAGTATTGTAAGTAAACATCAGCTATTATGTTTGAAATGTGTCCTACTTAGGACTGGGCAGCCTCATAAGAAGCAGTTGTTCGTTGTATTTTATTGCATAGGACTTCAAGTGGAGAAAGGACCCATCTGTGTCAGCAAGTTGGTTGTTAGCAAGGGCAGGGAATGGGGTCAGATTGGTTTCTGGTCAGTAAGTCTGGTCAGGGCCTGTTTGCAGACCCAGGTCACCCAGTGGTGGTGTCTGTAGCAGAACTAGGACACAGTTGAGTTGGTTTCTTCTCAGCTTACTGGAATGAAATCTGTTTTGTCTACCCCTGGAATGTATCTAAACATTTCCAGGTTACATCTTTTTGCAGAGAATGGCAACTTGCAAAGGTGATTTAAGATGAAAACAGATATCAGTAGCTTAACTTAGGTTTTGTCTTTTGCAAGCTACCTTGTGATACAGCATATAATGAGCAATTAAAGTTGCTATTAGTGGTAAGCAGGAGTAAGATTTATTTTCCTACTCCATACGATTGTTATGAAGCTGCACATGTTGAATATTGAATTCCTAGCTGCAGGGTTTTACTTATATTTGTACTTCATTTTTTTTAATTAAACAGAGGCACTAAAATAGTAAATATGTCGAATAGTGTGGCCTAATAGAATAAGGCCAGGTTGGGTGGCGCTTTGGGCAGCCTGGACTGGTGGGAGGTGTCCCTGCCCATGGCAGGGGGTGGAACCAGGTGGTCTGTAAGGTCCCTGCCAGCCCAAACCAGTCTGTGATTCCATGATACTGTTGGAATAAAATGGGGACATCTTGGAATTGAGGTCGGGCTTCTCTTCACGGGAATTGGTTCTTTGTCTTTGTTCTGAACTGGTCACTCCTGTTGCATTTAATGAGGAATGACATTAGTGGTGTACGTGAAACAGCGTGGGTCAGAGTCTGGCCAGCAGTAACGTACCTCGCTGCAACGGATGTGGTCAAAAGCCTCCTTTCTAGTAAAATGACAACCAGCTTCTACAGAAGTGCATGAAACTGAGAGTGGTGGTTATGCAGTTACTTCCAGAGTTTCTGCTTCCTCTCATCTCCTATCAGTCATTACCTTTTCCATTTAAGCTTATTGGGTGCTTTACGTGTTCCCAGTTTCAGACTACAGGGAGCACGAGTCAGTCTCCATACGACAAATTACTCGGCACTAGAGCTTGTTAGAAGGGTTTTAGATGAAAGGGGTTTTTGTGTTACTCTGTTTAGGACTCCCATGGGCTTAACAGAATGTGAGAGCACTCTCTGCTACAGAAAATCCCGGTGGCTGTGTCATCTCCTGGGAAGCGTAAGTATTGGTTGTTGACCATTCCTGTTAGGAGAATTAGGAGTTGCAGCCTTTTGCTGGTCCAGACGATGCCTATTAGAAATAGATGGTGTAATAGACATGTTAAAATTTGTTTACAGGATCTTCCATGGTTTTATCTGAAGTATTGACAAGTTTGGAGTCAGCTTCCTTGCTGTTTTCAGTCCCCATTTTGCTTTTCCTGTAGCTTGTTTAGGCCACACTTCAGTGGAAAGCAGATTAGGCTGTAGTACAACACCTGTTCCCCATTTCCATAGTACAAAATGTTTCCACTTCTATCCATATACATGTATCCTTCTGTTCTTTGTGCACAGTAGCACCTCTTGCTGGAACAGGCTTTCCCCTCCTAAGCAGGAAAAGTGGGGTCTTTAGGTAGAGGTTTTTCGTTAGGATCATTATTGTTTTTGTAATCCAGGTTTTAGGACATGTGAGGGGACCTGGACTATCACATATTACAGATCTTTTGTGTATTAAGTTTTCAAATGCTTTACAGCTCTTTCAGATATGGTGGGAGGTTGAAAACCTTACTTTATATTGAATTAGAACAGCAGATAAAATTCTGGGCCATGTAGTATACTACTACATACATTAACTCAGGCTGTGCTGTCATTCCTGGCTACATCCCAGAACAAACTGTGTTGGGATTGAGGTGGGGCGTTAGAACTGAAAGCATGAGAGGGAGCAAAGGAGGGAGGCTGATGTGCAATGGGCCAACAATCCTTCTTGTTCTGTAATACTCAGAGGAAAGAATAAACATAAGGGAGAAGAAACTGTTACTACTATTAAATTGTCCTATGCAATTGTCCAAGTACAAAAATCTGCTGTACGTTATTGCACTTAATGTTACTTGCCTGTATCAAATGCCAGTACAGATGCACGTGTTTTTGCAGGTTGTTTTGTGCAAGAATAATTATTAGTTAATGTCGAAATTGTATCTGCTGCTGTGCTGTTACTGAGTAGCTGCTTTCTGATGAATTGTTTCCTGTACAAGAAATAAAAAGAATCTAAGCTGTGTGAATATCTTGCTTACTGGTACCAGCTGATAAGCTGAGCTATTCAAGTAGCTTACTGCAGCATCTTCAGGTGCTTCGATTTCATTACCCTACATAAAATCTTGTTTTAATTCCCCCTTTGCAATTAGCCTCCTGCTGGTCTAAGAAACAACCCCAAGAAGAGATTGGGGCTTGAAGTGCAGAGTGAGGCTATAGGGCCTTGTCCTTTGGCAGAGATCAGGTTAGACAGCTTTAATGATTTCTAGAACTTAAAAACCAGTACTAAGCTCTTTGCTTCTTTTCAGCTTTTTTTTTTTTTTTTTTTTTTTTTTTCTGATATTATAGTATCTCTGATAAATGTTGTTCTTTCTGGTTTGAGTAATGGGGCAGTTGGTAGCTATTGATTGTCCTGGTTAGTCAGGGATGAATTGGAAATGCAAAAATAGATTTCCCTGCTGGGTTGGTGTGTTCACAGGTAAACGGTGTCCTGCAGAAGGCTGCCTTTGCCTAACACCAGGAATCTGACAGGTTCAGATTTGTCCAGTGTAATTTCAGGAATGTGAATAGTCACATCTAAACGTGAAGAGGTGAGGAGTGGTGCCTTGGCTGTATAGCTGAGTGATGCCAATTAACAGTTGCCTAATCTGTGCTTTCCCTCTTCTTCCCCAGGGGAGCTGTGGCCAGACTGCATCAGGGACGGTCACCAGTACGTCTTGCCCCAGTATGCTTCGTATGGGCGCAGTCTGGAAGAGTGCTTGTGGGCCAGCAGGAAGGCAGAGAATGCTAATGGAGAGTTGAAAAAACATGAGGTACTGTTTGAGCTTGTACTGTGCCCCTGTCCTCTTTACTAATGTAGACATAGCCAACAAGACTGCTTCATAGGCTGGGTCTGCTTAGTGTGAACGTGGTTGATGGAGAGACTGGTGGGCCTAAAAACCTGGTTCAGGTGTGGTCTGTGTGTCTGAAGCCTGAAACACGATACAGAAGACCCATGTTCCAGTAGCTGTGGAGGTGGCAGAGGTGTGCCAGCGCTGCGCATCCCTTGTGCATCTCGGCTGGAGGCACCAGCTGCCTGTTGGGGCGTGCCTCCAGTCTGGGGGGGTATGGGAGACCGGGGGCTGGGGCTGGGATTCAGTGCTCACAGAAACTGACCGAGATGGAACACAAAGAAAATAGGAAAAGCATTATGTACTGAAACGAGGTTCTTTTATTTCAGTGCAGTACAAAGAAATAGGAGTTACTTTGCTTTGAATGAAAGTATTGAAACTGAAAAATGAAGCTTGTGAAATACATTCGTGTAGTAATAGGAATCCTTGGATATCAAAGCAGTGAAAAATGACAGCTATGATGCTGTGGCATTAAAATAAATATTTACATAGCTTTAAACTAATGCATTGTTTTTTTTCTTCATTTAGTGTTGTATCATTGGTAACTTAGTTTGCAGCAGTATAATATATTACCCACTTTGAAACACTGACAATGCTTTTTTAACCATTGGTCTTTCAGCCAGTGATTTCTTTATGTTTAAAACGTACTGGTACAGCAGCAACACTCTTCTGTACCAAGCAACACCTCCCCACACCCCAAACCCCAGCAAAAACAAAGACAGCCTCTTTTTTTATTTTTTCCAAAGAAGGAATCTGCTCAGTTCAGTTAAGTACATTGACCTTTGGTTACGTATAGTAACGCTGTAAACAGTGGGCCCAGCTCACAGACAAATAATATGAACTCACTCACTTTGAGAGAGTTAAGTTCAAGAGAAAGTTGTTTTCAAAAAAAAAAATAAAAATTCTGTGTTGCCTATCATTCTGCAGCATGAAACACAGTAACTGCTCAGTTTTGGACGTTTTAAACTAGAATATTAGCTTTCAAATTGAATCAGGATGGGTCATCTGCTTTCCTAACAAGTGCAGATGAGTTACATTTTCAAAGGTATCAAAATGTACTGTCATACTGGTTTGCATCAGTCAATAGCCCCATGTCCTCGGTGACTTTTTAAGTAAGTAAACGTTAATTACACAGGTATTGCTATGAACCAAGCCCATTGTTTAAAGGAAGCACAATTCTTGCCAAGTTAAAAGTCTTTACATAAGAACGTGGTTTTGTAATGGATTTGAAGAGCTGCTGTGTGAGTTATTAAAATTGTGTCTTCCTGCTTGCACTGTGTACCAATGCAGAAAATGGACAAACATGCAGTAAAATGTAGCATCATTTAGAAAATAATATGTAAAAAAAATTCAGTATCTTATATTAAAGCATTTACACTGCATAGGCATTCATATAAGGATATAGTATAATAAAACTCATCAAATATACAAGCATGCAGCAGTTGCCTTATTCACAGTTCTAGAAATGACCACACATTGATTTTCTTAAATATAAATTGGGTTATCCAAAATAGATTTTGCAGCCAGTCTCCTTTGCAGTGGCAAACTATGTTCTCATGTGCATTGCAGATACTGACCTATATAACAGGCCTAAGCTATGCCACCGTATTGTACACATCTGTGATAAATACTGTGTTTGAAATAGGAAGTATAATGAGAAGTTACCACACTTCTCATAGTAGAGCTTGGAGACTACACAATGCTTGAATTAAACAAAAAATATAAGCATATTTACTGTATTCTCCTTAGAGAGTAACACTGCAACCTTGCCACATATCTAGCTACTGCATAAGCTGGCCATGCAGTTTTCAAAATAAGTTTAGACAGGTTTTTCTATTTGAGATTTCACCCCCATCAGAGGAAGTACAGTAGTAAACTCATATAGTACATACCCTTCCTGCCCTGCAAACCTTACAAAGGACTCCTGCTACTCTTAGGTTGTTTATGGAAATAGAATACAATGCAATGCCAAAGTCACACCCACAGAGAGGTTTTCTTGTCTTCATTTACTCCTGTACAGCAGAGAGCTTCAAGCACTTAGCTATCGCAAGATATCAGCACCTAGATTAGACCCTTTCTGTGGCCGAAGGGCACCTGGAGGGTAAAGTTGGGGATATGTAGTTTGAAGTTGTCTGTGGTTTTGACTTGCTTGTTATTGCCTAGCTTGGCATGCCAGCCTGGTGCGTGACCCCAAGCCAACAGTGAACAAAAAGTTTGGAGGCAAGGCTTGTGTTAAGGTGTGTGAGGTTTGAAAAATTGGGCTCTAGAGCCTGGTTTTGGACATGCCAAGGCAAAGTGGAGTGAAGATTATGACTTAAACCCTTTTCCCCTTGCAGATATTTTTTCCATAATGCCTACCTTCTGCTTTTTCTTGTCTTTGTGTATAGTAACAAAGATTTTTTGGTGTCTTTAGTCAATATGTGCATGTGCTTCCTTTTTCTTGGCACTTCAAGTAAAGCCAGTACAAGTGATATCGCAGGATGTCACAACACCCAAGCTGCAGGCAGTGGGGATTCATCGCTGTGTAGAAAGCAGCAAAGGATTCCTACAAAAATAGCATGTAGGAAGTAATAGCTTGATAAGGAAAAAGCCAGATAATGGGCAGAGAGGGAGGGAGGGAGCAGAAACATTGGCTAATGAAAAAGGGGAGTGTGGAAAAGGAAGAACTGGGGGCAGTGGTTGCTGGAAGAAGAGGAGAGTGTAATCCTCCCTGGAGCATTTAGTTCAGAGAGAAGCATTGCCCTTTGTTTTGTAAAAAAAAGTGAGCTTTGGCACACTCATACATGCGAATGGAAAGGCGAGTAGATGGCTTTGGTATGTGCTGTCAGAATCTGTTACCTTAATGTACTGGTATGCGGTGGCCAGGAGTTTGCTTTTGTAATCTGTTATTTTGACTCTCTCTCCCTCTCTTAATGTGTGCGTATTCCCATTCGCTAGTGAAGGAGATGTGTCCTTTACCAGCCGGAGCTGTACTGCTTCCCATCTGTCTCGCAGGAGGAAGGCAGCAGAAGGCGCTGTGCTAGAGATGCTAGAGATGTGTCTAGCTCCTGTGACATACTCGCTTCTGCATGTGTGGAGCCTCAACATCACATCTGGAATTTGGTATGGGGACATCCAGAATTTGAGATGGACACGGGGTCATCTGAGTGCTTTTACTGCATCGACTAACTGACACCTGGAAAATGGGCTCACAGTGTGTTACAGCTGGCTTGCTGCTACAGAAGCTGTTTTTCTGCATTTTCTCCAGACTTGTTACCTAAGATTTCTCTGTTGACATCTGAAGACACAAATACTGTGAGAACTGGCTTTTTGATGATTATATGACAGTAGGATTTGTACAGATAGAAACCCCCTTTTTTGCTGGACCTTCAGGCTATACACATCCATAGGTGGGCATAAGACTTCTGTTGCCAAAACTTTTGTATGACAGATCTAGTGATTCAGAGTCTTCATTGCATCTCTGACATACTAAGAGCAGCAGTTCAGATGTGGGGGCTGTCCAGAAATATGACAGTATTTTTATTTAGAAATTTCAACTTTTTTAATCTGAGTACTACACTGGCCTCCCATTCTTTTTCCAATTCTCGTTTATTTTTTAAATCTTGACAAAAATGAAAATATGCTTAGTTTTGATCCTGACTCTGTAGGCATTTTAATATTTGCACTAGGTTCTTAGGGTTTCTTACTGAATCTGCCATTTATTTTTCTTTTCGCAGGGTAAGTTCTATAATCTACCCTGGGAATTTAAAGAATTTGGAGATTGTTAATAGCAGGTGTCACAGCTGCTTTGAGTATGGTGGGAAGGAAGAAGAGGAGCTCTGTAGAGAAATCTGTCTATTGGCTATAAAGAAGGTTGGGCTAAGCTTTGAGCACCAAGTTCCACAGGACTGTACTGCCTTTTGTGAATGAACAGGCATTGGATGGGTAAGGCCTTTGCTTTTTCTAGAAGCTTCATAAGCTCTACTTCTAGTAGCAACTCAAATGTTCTTGGAAAGAGGAGAAAGAACATCTGTGTTTTTACCTGCCTCTTCAACCCCTCTTGCAAAGTGAAGGAACTAATTAAGTTCCTAAAGACAAGGGTCCTCTCACGTGGTCGTGCTAAAGTTAACTGCGCATTTCACACATTGCAAATCTGGCTGTATATTAAAAAACAGTTGACATTAGAATAAAGTGAGACTACCAAAAGAGGTATTTATGTCACCAGGTAATACTGAGCCTCATTTAAAATTTGCCAAGCTTTTTTTCCCCTTACCTTTTATCCCTTCTTTCACATTTTTCATATGTGTCTGTCCAGGTGAAGAACTGTGAGGCACCTTCCTCATGTGTTTGAGCTCCTTTTTTACCTTCTCTAGTATCACATTATGTAAGGGATCTTTGAAAGGGCAAAAGGTTGTTGAGCGGCCCACAGTTTCCATAAGAAGCAGGCAAATAAAAATAGTTTTTCCTTGCTCCTTGGGCAATGACAAGTGGAAAAACTAGAATGGGTTGCTAAAGGAGCAGAAGACAGAGGGCAAGTGAGATAACAAGAATAGCTCCCCAACCTTTAGAAGGAGACAACTGTTGCTTTCAGAAGCATCCTGCTTTTCTGTCAAGGTTCCCAAGTTTCAAGAAAAAAAAAACAAACAAACAGGTATAAGGTAAAGAATAATGTGGTATGATAGAATACTGAGCAAATCTTTTAGAAAGCATTTGTTTGCAATTCAGTTGTTAAAATGTGGCTCCACGCTTATATTTGAAGAGTTTCTCATTGTGTTCTCTACTGTCTTCTTTATATAATGCTACGTATTATGATCTGTGCTGTTAATCTTTACCATGAAATTCTTTCTTCATGAAGAACCCCATGAAGCTCCTTAGAGTGGAAAATATAGTTCCAGCTTATAAGTCATTTATAAGCTTTACACAGATAGCAATTTTTTGGGGGGGAAAAAAAAAACAAAACACAAACAAAACATGATTAATGTGTCAGATTTGATGGACTGATACTTGCTCTTAGTTTTTACTGTTGTATTACTTCAGAATGAGATTTGCCTGTCCAACTTGACTGTGTTTGTACAGCAAGAGATCATATGCAACTGCTGCATATGATATGAACACAGCACGGCAGGTGTGTGCGGTATTGTAAAGACTTTGTTTACATAGTGCTAAGGACTGCTACTATACAAGAAGGAGCCCCATTTCTAGTATTGCTTTTCTTCTCAGTGCCTGCTACATAGAACTCTATGGGCTCCTGTTCCTGTTATTAAGCATCTTAAGCTTGCAATTGTTAGTTTCCTTCCTGTCGTTCTAAAAGTAGTCATGGGAATAAACTCATGAAGAAAAGAAGGGTGAGTGACTAAAATGCAGGATTTTGCAGGGAAAAAGCAAAATGAGAAGTTAGCCCAGAGCTTTTAGGCCAGCACCTGGTCTGTTAACTCATGAATTAATGAGTGGCTGATTGATTGATTAATTCATGACTGCTTCAAGTTGGTTTGACTCTGTGGCTATTTTTCCAACCTTTCTCTCTTCCTGATTACATTTTAAGCTGTTGAGGGAGGGGCTGCTATTACAATGTTGATGTAGTGCCCAGGATGTGTTGTTGCAACTTCATCATGATAAAGATAATTTACATTTTTCACATTGGTTAACATGAAACCTAGAACTTTTCAGTATAAGCACAAAAGAATCCTCCGGAATGCTACAGTTGTCCACTTGACTAGAGAGTAGTTTTTTTTGTTTTGTAGCTTCAATCAACTGTATTTTTGTTATTAAAGGGAAGACCAGCATGTTCTTTTTACAGAATTAAAAAGATTGGTTTAACCTAAAAAAAATTGGTTTATTCTAAGAAAAAAATTCCAGTGTAGAATTTGTTGTGAGCAAAATACAGCCAAGTCCATTCACTGTAGTAGAATAATTCACAGCTAGAATTGCACTGCACTGTTAAAAATCTTAGTTTTAAAAAGGTATTCAGAAGTAGGCCACAGTGGCTTAATTTTTGTCCTACACATATATTTTGAATTAAAAAAAAAAGTGCTTTGTTACAGTTACAGCGTATTGAAGTGGCATAGAAACATGTTTCCATGAAAACCCAAATTAAGTTATCCTGTTGGAACTGCTCAGTACAGCTAGATTCCTTGTTCTGTTTCTTTGTAAATTCCCAATCTCAAGATAATTGTGCAGCTCTCTCAGGTTCATCTACTGACTTCAGCATCTGCTCAGTGCAAAGCATGTGAGTTCTTTCCTTGTCTAAACTGTTTTGGATGAGGTCTTCTCTATATGCTAGTTTGGCAAGCTTCTAAGGCATTTGTGCAATGTGATGATCCAAGAGCAACCTGATTCAATACTGAAAAATTTGTAAGTAATGTCCAGCAGTATTTGCAGTGGAAAAATTACTGCTAAGAAAGCAATCCCTCTAAAGTATCATCTGAGCTCCTATAGTGTACACGTGTTAAAAGTGGAATATATGTACTTGTATGTTTACATCAGGCAGGTATCAATGTGAATTTAAAAATTACCAAGGATTCATTCTTGTTGCATGGATTGGATTGTGATTGAAAAACGATGGACATATATGTATAAAAAGACTAGGAGTGGAAATAAAACTGTGCCAGAAGTCACTCTCTCGGAACATACTATACATGTTGTTAGTGTTTTTGGGTTAAAATGAAGGGTTAATTTTGAAGTCCAGAATGGTTAAGATGTCTTAGAGCTCTCTATAAGGCCAGTCTCAGGAGTCAAGTGCATGATATTCAGGAGGAAGATATTTATAAATGACTTCAGTTTGAAAATCTGGAATAGCCAGCTGATGTGTTACCATCTTACTCAGAAGGTCTGTGCTATTTTTCAGTAAGTACATACTAAAGTCACAAAAAAAATCAACATAGAAATTCTCTGGATTTCTCCTCAGATTTAGGGTTAAATGGCAGGTAGCATTCACACAGCTTAGTTCAGTTTATATCTATGTAAAACTCAATAAAATGTAGTAGAAATAACTTAGGTAGCTAGTAGGAATTCAAGTAACAGGTAGGTCTTGAAAGTAGCATTCTGAGCATTTCTATTTACTTTATTCTTATCTGCTCTCCCCTGAACAATCTCTAGAGCCTGGATTTGCTGGAAGGAATACTGGGCCCTGTAAAACCTTGTACAGCACGACCCCACATTGAAATATGCATTTCTTAGGGGAAAAAAAAAATGCTGAGGAGAAAAAAACAAATAGAAACAAAAACTTAAGTCCACTCCCGTCAGGTTACAGTTATGGCCATTGTGTCATGGCACATCATGCTGCTTCTCTGCTCTTCACAGAGAACGTGAAAGTAGCTGCAGATACTAGTTAAGGGGAATGCTTAAATTTTATGCCCACTCTATTGCCTCTTTTTTCTCCCTGTGTTAAAGACGAGAACAATGCCCTTCCCCAACCACCAAAAAGACTCCCAACAGTAAAGCCCCAAATACCTGTTTGTTGTTTGGCTTGCAGCGTGATAAATAAGAGTACATGCACAAGGCAGAAAAAAGTAGTAACCTGCCCAAAACAGCTTGAGGCATAACATGTGAAATTTGTAAAGTAACTGGTGTATATGAGATTTGGGCTTCACCCTTGGTTGAAAGGAATTTCTGTGGTGATCCTTTTGCTGCCAGCCAGGTGTTGGGAGAACTGGGATTTTATTTATTTTTACACCTTGGCAGTACAGACTGCTTCAATCATGTTGTAGATTAGTTGATAATAAAGGCAGGAGTAATTTGTGAAATAAGGAACTGCACTTGGATAAAAATGCTTGGGTTTAAGTGCTTGTGGTTTGGACCAACATATCACGTTTGTTTTTTGTGACTCTAGAGCTATGTACCAATCTGTAAACATCACAATGTGTAGTCTTCTTTCTTAGGAAGCTTGCTGTATGCCTTTCAGTACTAGATACAAGATGTTAGCAGGACTTCACGTGAGGAACAGTTAAACAAAAACTTCTATGAATAAGGCACTAGTAAATGTTTGCAGCAAACAACAGTTACAGTCTGTATTCTTTAAGAATAAAGCCGTTCTGTTTAGGAAATTGCCTTTAATATGACAGAGTTACCAATACCAGTTAGAAGGGGGTTAGAGAAAGTGCATCTTTTGGATTTTATGCCTGCGAGGTCTGTGAGAAACTATGGAATGCAAATTCCTGTTAAGGTTAGAAATTTGCTGTGCAATGGTGATATTCAGAAGAACTAAAGCAAGAGGGAACTGGTCCAGACTGATCCCTGCTAAACCAACGTGAAATAACTGTAATGGATTTGCTACGGATTTATTTACATTGACAGAAGGAGCTGAAGCCAGAATTGAGGCTGCTGTAGCAAATCTAGTTAAATGGGAATAATGCTAACCTAAAACAAATAATTGGCTGTAACAGTTTTAAAAAAGAATCTGCTTTTTTGTTTGTTTTTTCATTAATTTCCAACTTGCTGAAGTCCAAGGATGCACTTTGTCTTTTGGTTAATGTAACAGAGCAAAGCCTTCTGTACTACTTTGGAGCTGCTGCCGTTGTAAATAGCTATTAAAATAGCAATCCATACATTATACAAAATTAAATTTGAGCCTGCCAGTCCGGCTGTAGGATGGCTGACAACTATTTCACTATTTCTCATTAAAATTCCTCAGAAAAACCCCGACCATTCCATCATAAAAACAGAATGTAATACTACTTTTAAAAAGTACTTTTACATATCAGCTTTTTTTTTTTTTTTTTTTTTCCGGGGGGGGAGGAAGGTCATTGAAGCACCAGAATTTGTTCAAGTCAGTAAGAATGCAGTTATTAACTGAGGGCCTCAGTTAACGTTTAAGATTGTATCAGTTCAGTGAAATTACTATATCTGAATTGTTCATTTGCTATACTAAATAGAAGGTCAGTGGTAACTCCACAGTCTAATCTCATCACTAAATACTGATTTGGAAAAAGACAGATTACCTTTAGCATTTGACAAATTTCTGTTGCACTGAGATTCTTCATTACTTGTACATAATGTCATTTTAAAAACACATTCCTAATATCAGATAATACAAGAGGGAAAAATATGTTGATTCTTCTTGTATATTATTGCCATCAGGTGCTACAACTAACAACTCTGAAAAGTGGGGAGGTGTGGGTGTCTTTTTTTTTAATCTTAGTGAAAACATGGTAGTAAATTTATCTCGAGCTTTAAGATAACCCATCCATTGGGACCATTTCTGTTCTCTCAGAAAATTTAAAACTATCTCAAACAGTTCTTAACCCCCTCGCTCCCTGTTTTTACATTGACTCCAAAGGCTAAATTCATCTGGTGATGTAACTAGTGGCTAAAATTGATAAGAGTTTCACCAGAAATGAATCTGGATGTATCTTAATTTAATAATAATAATAAAAAAAACACCTTAGATTTCCTGCTAGGGAATCTCTATCGGTCTTGCAATACGTATACTAAAGTTATATACAGAAGAAAGAAAATGCAAAATTTTGTCTTTCCAAAGATCTCATCCTTAAGGTGACTCAGGTAACCTTTTTCTTTTTAGATTTGTTTGTTTGTTTCTTATACAAATGTCAGAATATATGTTGTCCTGCAGGAGGGAAGTCTAAGAAATTGCATGGGTTTATCTGAATATTATCAAATGTTCTTCAACATTAGAGCTGTGCAGAATCTTTTCTGTAAATGTTGACAGCTAATTCTTTTTTCATTCTTTCTAGTAAGATGATATACATCTGGGAAATTGCAAAAGATGCACAGTGTTTGTTAAAAGTGTGCCTTTTGTAGTCCTAACCAGTTTCATGGTGTGTCTCTATCTCTTGCTGGCAAAGTAGTATTTTGAAGTTGTGCATACATTACCTTTTCCTAATTTCCTAAACTGTGCTTACTTTAAAACAAAATCGACTTTTTTAACCTTTTCAATAAAACTTGTATGTTGAAAGTCACGGTGGCTTTTTAACTTGGTTTTAAGATTAAAATAATCCATTGGGACACTTTTGATTTTGGTATCTCTTAACCCACTGCTTTCAAAGCGTGCCTTCTGTAATATACAGCCGGGTGACAGCAGTCTGCATTTGGAAATAGTTGCATGAATTATTAACAAAATGGAGAATGCAGTTTGCTTTCGTGGCTGTATTTCTTCAGCAGAAGCAGGATAGTAATGAAACACTTTCATTAAGAAACTAAGCTAATACAGTTCTGGAAAAAAATCTTTTTAAAGAGCAAATTCACACTTTTACAGAACAGTTGCATCTCAGTGCAACTGAGTTGTGTTTGTAGAGGTGCCTGTTAATACCAACTGAAACTGTGGCCCGAATGAAGGCCTCATGGTTCAGTTTATGCTGATGTATTTGCCTATGTGGACAACATTTAAAAAAAGCCATTTTGCAATTTTTTTATGTGACAGGAAAGAAAAAATGTGTGAAAATGAATATATTCATCATTTAACAACAATTTTTGCATAATTTTGCTCAACCCTTGACTTTCCCAAAAAGTAGTATTTCATTTTTGTTTTTTATTCTTCACACTTGACAAACTTTTACCTTGGGAAAAATTTGTTCTTGGACTGATTTTTCTTGCAATCTCTAGTTCTTTGCTTTTAATACAGAGATGTGCATTGTTAGATAATACTATAATTAGAAATAACTGTTAACGTTGAAATGAATCCATATTACTTTGATGAAAATTTATTTATCTGAGAGGTTTTAGGGATTATCATGAATTTGATTAGGCCAACACCAGTCCCTCAAAACCTTCTTATTCTCTTAGGAGATGAATTACGAGTACCATAACTGTAATGTATTTTAAGGCTATTTAGAAAAGATGATACTTTAACTAAATGTTCAAAACTAGAAAAGACTTATACGACTGGATATTTATTTAAAGGGGATGATTTGTATAGGTGAATATTTGCTTATTCTTCTATCTTTTCTAATAGGGTAAACCTACCATCTACTTGTATGTCAATAATAACTGATCTTGGAATGCCATTTCATAGCTAGGATCATAGTTCTGTCAAAGATTCGTTCTAGCCAGGATGACAATTAGCAAAAATCTGAAAACAGCCTCAATCAATTCTTCTGTTTCTGTTAAGTCCAAATGAGGAACGTTAAAATTAACATGGAAGCAAAAATTGACATTCAGTGTCAGAAGTAACAAATTTGAAAGTCTTAATATAGAGAATATAGTTTAGATAGTTTATATAAGTGTGCTTTTTCCTAAAAACACCCCCCAATCAACCTTTTTTTTTTTTTTTTTTTTTCTTTTTTAAGTCTTTTGTCTGTAAATATGAAAGAGGGCTACACCCATTGTAATTCTTCATTGTTGTACTAAACAGTAAAATAGTCTTTCTTTCTAATTCACATTGCTCATGGCAGTCTTATTTGATGTTGCTTTATTAAGTTTGTGATTAAAGCAGTTTGGGATTTTTGTTGGTTGTAAACTTTTGGCATAATGTGAATACCAGTCTCTTTCAAAAACAGCCTTGAGTTGCTTTATGATGCTTGTGCTGTTCCCCGCGTCTGCTTGGTTGATAACAAGGCCCGCTCCAGCATTCTGCGTAAATGCATTTCCTACCCAATCAAAATTACCTACAAGTAAAGGCAGGAATATACAATGAGTGAAAACAAGTTCTTTATTTAAAAGTAATCATTCAAAACTAATTTGCTCTTGCTTTCTGTGTATTGTGTATGTATATATATATATATATATATATATATATATATAGTGTGTGTATATATGTATATATACAAAAAGAAACTCCATATACTTTACCCATTAACCTTTTTTTTTCTGAAAATGAAAATATTTTGGGGCTTTATAAACAAATTAAAGTACATGGATGAATAGCGGTTGCTCCATAATGCTGAACCAAACCACTAGATATTTTAGGTTACCTCTTGACAGATATTTCAGAAAACTGAAACAGGTTTTATTGTTTTACTCAACTGGTTACTACCCACCTTGTCAAAGTATAAGGTAATAAATAAGATTTTCAGATGCTGATGGTAGCAAGTCAAAGAGGGTAACTGGAATAATGGAAATCAGGTAAACCAAGTGTTTAATTTACATCTTCGTATTTCTCCAGAACTCATAACTATATAAGATCTACATTTATAATATATGCAGTATTTTGGAGAAAAAATGCTGTTAATAGAGCAATCTATCAAAACAGGATGTCTGAACGTTTATAAGACTTGAATGTATTTGAGAAATTTATACCCTTTCTTTGGGAATCACTTAAGCTACTTCAATATGAAAGGTTAAGAATTCTGAAGTTGTCAAAGATGGTAAATTGAAACCTCTTTTTAAGGGACCTTTTTTACTATGCTTTCAAGTAGAAGGTAAATCAGGTCCTTAACATGTATTTGTATTACTTTTGCACAGCTTCAATTCTTTGTCCTTACATCTGTGTGTGTTTATATACATATATAAAGGGAAAAAGCCACCACCACAACAAAAACAGCTAAGAACCCATACTGTGTAGACTCTTCATAAGGTAATGAAATTTGATCTGTGTATTAGAATTTAAAATGGAGTAAAAAGATTATTTTGGAGCTTATAAAATAAGAGACCAGAGAGGAATGAGCCCAGCTACTTGAAGTGAAAAGAGATTTGGGTAGATTGAGAGGGGTGGGTGCATGTTAAGAGCCCATCAATGTGAGCTTTTCAGAGGATCTTTTGGTCATCTCTCTATACTACTTGTGACTGTCTTACTCTTCATCTGTGTGCGTTGACTTGCTTCTGTGTTTGCAGGCTTTCTTCGCCCCAACTCCCTCAGAGACTACTGGCTTTAAACCCTTGCAGTAAGTCAGGGTGAGTAAGCTGGCAACTAAAACATATTTGAATGCCTGTTTTCTCCTTGACTTAGCAAAATCTTATAACTTACTTTTTAATTTAGTAGCCCTCTTTTGATCCTTCAGCTCAAGCACAGCTCAGTCAGCTTTATATATGCATATATGTAAATTTTTATCGTGTGCATTCAGTTAGCATTTGACTGACAGTGAACTCCTGCTAGGTGCCATGAAGAGACTTCATTTAAATGTACCTTAACCCAAAATACCAATTAGACATATCTAACGTTAATAAAAGGAGGGTGTCTGAAATGTCATTATAGTTAAATGGAATAAGATGACGTTGGAAAGTAACGGCCATTTATGGAGTATTTACTAGGTCTATTTACTAATCTGCCATAGGTTATGCAGTTTCCCATATGACATGGGAAATAGAGAGTCCACCTTTGCTGAATTGCAGAAACCAGTAATATGTTGATCATCATATTTGTTCTTACTTCATAAAGTATGTTGTATTTTTCTTTTAAGTTTATTTTTAACTACTGAAAGCAGTAGTCTCAAAAGCATGCTTTTGAGAAACTGATAGAGAGGAAAAATAAATTTAAGAATTTTTAAATGACAGTTGGTTCAAGGTTCAGGCTTCATCCAGGTTACCAGAGAAATTAGACCAGTATTGTAATTAACAAGCATATCAGATGTAGATTCCTCATTCCTAAATGGCTATTTTTAAAGGCTTTTGGCTAACGAATATTCTTGAGATGTGGTTACTTACCAATGTAAGCAGCTCCATCAGTCACCATATATTTGTTACGGTTTAGTTTGGGAAGGGAAGCATTCTTCTGTTCTTTAAGAAAACATGCATTCTCTTCTTCAAGGTCAAAGAATTTCTGCCATAAAATAGATTGGAGTTTAGGTTAATAAGAACCATTCTGTCATGGGTGGAAAAAATATATTCTGCTCTTCTACTCTTTATTGAAAATAAGTTAGTGCTACAGAACAGCTCAGGGTTATAAGGCGAGCATAAATTTTCATAAAGTACTGCACATTGTATTTCATACTAAAGTCTCATAATTTGTGATATTTGGTATACATTGTTAAGTATACAAAGTAAATAGCTACTGCATATTATAAGCAATACAATGCTAGATAATAAAGGCTACAAAATGAAGAGAAAAAAAAGTTGTGTTCTGCATAATGAGAGATAAACTTGTTTAGTTCATTTCCACATTCATCAAGAAGCCCTGGCATTTGAAGTCTGCTTCAGGATACATTCTTCCAGGTAAGACAAGTTGAATTCATACCTTTATCTGGCACATTGGCAAGTTTCCTGTTGAAAACGATGCCAATCTAAGAAACTTTTCAAAACCCCGTAGGCAAAGACCGGATTTAGCAGACAACAAGAGGAAAATGCATTTGTTTTACCCTGAAGTGTGATGCCTGATAGATCTGTTTTGAGGAGCTGTAATGTACTCCTTAACTGGCTCGGTGCCAGACAGGAAGATTTTCCAGTACAATACTAAGTAATGTTTGTTTCATCGAGAAAATTAATAGCTAGTCACAGATTCCAAAAACAGAAGTGGAGAATAACATGATGAAGTAGAAATTAAATATTTACTGCATGACTTGGAAACTTTGATTGAGGTTATGGTGTAGAGCCTCAGAACAAATCTAATTCACGATACATTATTGATGAAAGTGGCTGTACACTGCACCTGCTCCGTGTGCCTGAGGAATTCCTATACAAGCATGTACGGTTGACAGAAACTACGTACTTAGCAAGTTGGAGATGGATCTGAGAACGGCTTGAATTACTGGATAAAGCCAGAAGAAATGTTCATGTTATTGTCTGCACAACAGAACAGGAACTGAGATAGTTAGCAGCCATAGGGTGTCCTTCAAGGACATTAACTCTTCCTGGTGATTTGGAAGCAGAAGCAACCTGCTGCGTAACTGACTATTATTGTAGGAACTAGTATAAAAATTGCAAATGGGTAAACTATTCAATGCCAGGAAACAAAACACGATAAGCTCTCTTCCTGGGGTTATGAAATTTAGCAAAAAGTTGCGTATTCTGCTGCTGCTGAAAAGAAAAAGGAAAAAAAAAGCCAAGCACAATCATCATAGAAGCTTAGAGTTGTGATGATGAGATAGATTCGACAGATGTGCTTAACTGAAAAATCACATGCCAGTTTCCTATTGTATAAGCTTATAAAAGAGAAGATTTCAGCTTCAGGCAGAAAACGATAGAATGCTGGAAAATGTGTGTTCTCCAGCAACAGCAGACAAGTCATTAATTCCTTGACAATGCAGATAACAGTAGGGAGCTGCATCTGCCCTCACAAGCAGAGTACACAAATGTAGCTTTGATAGGCAAGTAAACCATCACCAGCAAGCAGTAAGTAGTAGCACAGACTAATGTTCTCTACTGTGTATCTTCAGCAGAAATTCTACGCTAATAATACCACCTCCTTTGGCTAAAGTTTCATTCATCATTTCCATCCTTATTTTAGGAGTTTAGAACTTCAAAGTTCAGTTGGTGCTTGGGAGCGAAGGTTTCATAGTTAATATACAGCACTTTTTTTGACTCACAGAACATCTGTATTTTGGTATTTCTGGTTTCCTGAAAACTAGCAAAAGGTTCTGTTTTTTTTTTTTTCTTTTTCTTTTTTTTCCTATCTTAACCTAGCATGAATATACCTGTACAGTTTTCACTTGGAGGCTCAAGAATGATTTGTGCCATAGATCCATATGCCTGGTCCATTGCACTCCTGCCTGGGTTCCAGTTTCTTGATGTTGCTGTACTCCACTTAGGCTTCATTGAGAAGCATCCACCTGCCTCTGGTCAGCACTGTAAGCAACAGAGCTGGACCACTTCTAAAACACCTTTGGGAGTTTCGTGCTCTGCTTTCTTCCATGCAAGAAAGCTTTCGTGCATGGAAGATGTGCTTCAAATGCCAAGCACACAAAACGTGAGTACTAAAACGAAGGTCCCAAGAGACACGCCAATGAGCACTTCACCTTGACTTTACCCTTTATGACTGAAGCTCAAATTACGTAGTCCCATTTGGTTCAGTGCAGGGAGCAGGACAGAGATCCCTAAAGGAGCAGCAGTTTGGTATGCAGTTTAACTCCTTGGTATTAGGCTGGGTGCTTGCTGCATTTACTATGTCCCTAAACAAAGCTTCTTCATAAATTCTCAACTCATCTTTTTTCAGAATATGTATATTGAATTTACAGTCTCAAAGCAGTGTTAGTTTTGTCCAGTAACTCTTAATGCTAACATAAACCAGACTGGACAAGTACGGCAAGGCATGCCACTGGGAACAAAAGCTAGAGGGAAGAAAGAAGTTATTAAATATGCTTTCTAGGACTCAGCTATGTTATCCCCAAGAGCACTTGTGAGTGGGAGGGTGTGATCTCAGTCAGAACATTATTAAGGCACTGGGACAGGTTAGCAATTTAAGTTTTCAATCAGAATTTGTAACTTGAATTTCTCTTACAATTGGAAAATTCTTGTGTATAAACATATATAATATGTGCCTGCACATGACAGTATTTTCTGTCCATGCCAGTATGCACAAACATTATTACACTTTGATCCTGGCTAGAACAGATGAATACAAAGGAAATTAATATATATTTTTTAAAGTGCTCATTTGTCATGTTTTGTGAGGTAAATACGTGCTGTGATGAAGCCTGTGGTGCAGTTTCAGCCAAAATTGAGTAGTTACCAGCAAAGTCTGAGCCTTAGGCTATTAATTATACCAAACCCATCTTTAATCAGTTCTTACCTAAGGCAGTGACTTGACCAGCGTGCAGAACTTGTGAGGTACAGCACAGAGGCAACTGAGTTGTGTTGTACCTTTAAAATTAGATTTAAATCTGCTATGATTTTTTTTTTTCCTGGAAATCATTGGATTTCTATGTTAACTACAATGATTCTGGCTAGAATATCTCTGCCTAGAAATTGTTCTTTTCCTTCTATCATTCAGTTCTTTACAAGAAAATTCTGTACTAAAAATTTTACCTGTTTTAAGGAAATGGAAATAGATATGACTATGTACAGCATTAGGTGCCTTTTAAATAAAAATAATTTTAATACATAAAATTTCAATGAATATGGAACAAGTAAGTTACTTGAAAGTGAAGTGGCTTAAGTATTGTCATATGTTGTCTTTATCTTAAAAACACAATGTTGCTTCTCACTTAAAATACAGTTATTACGAGTTTCTTAAAAGCAAAAATCTATTTCTAGATATATACGTATATATACCGCAGTGTAACACAACACTTCCCCTGCAATTGTTGTCAATTAAAAACAACTAGAAAAAAAAATAAAAATTCAGGGGATTGCTTAAGACAGTTATCTGAAAGAAATAAAAATTGTTTCAAGATGACTGACTAGCAGTATGCCTTAATTTCATAAAAATGAATTGTATCAAATTTGAAGTAGGACTTACCATACGTACCATATACACTGTTCTCTGATACACATGTAACACTAGGTATTTCTCACCTTTCTGATTGCATGCCTTATGCAAACACATAATAGTTCTAGTTTTTGTAATCCTGAATTTGCAACCTCAATTTAAGATAAAATATTATTTTTTCTTATACTTTATTTAAATAAAGGAAAAATAGATACTTATGCAGATGAACAGTAAGGTTACACAAATCCAGACTAAAACACGTTTACGCTGTCACATTTACTCTTATCAGCCAGCATAAACAAGGCATACGGCTACAGTTCACTCTGCTAGCTTTGCCATGAAAGACCAGATGTAGTGTTTTATGCAAGCTGTCCCCCACACAGACTGCCTTTTGGCATCATTCTATTTTTCTGTCTTAATTTCAATGTCTGTTACTACTAGAAATAATTTTAGTTCACTATATTACAGTTCCTATGTTGTTTAATGAAATTTAAAGGCTTTGGTACAAACAGAGAATATTTTCCAGTTGTGAAGTTTTCTTGGTATTTTTGTGGGGTGTACAGGAGAATATCTTAAGATTTCAAACCAATATGGATTATACTTACAACTTTCAAACTACAGCTTGGAACTTCAGTGCAAATAGCTTTGAGAGATGAAACAAAGTTAAAAGTAAGGGGATCTGTGTCTCTTGAGAAACTTATGAGAAGTCGAACTTTAATACTTCGTAAAACTAAAGCTTCTCTTATCTTCCCATCTAAATATGGCCAGTATCTGTGGAGAAAGAACACAGTATGTTCATATAACTTTAAAAAAAAAAAAAAAGGGGGTTTTATCCAGTCAAGCCTACAAGACATCACAGAGAGAACTACATACATTTACTTAATTAAATTAGAATTTATTTTTCTGTCTAAGAAATGCTGTTCTCACTGAACAGATCAGCCAGCATCCCTTTTTGTAGCATTCTGCCCTGCCACTGTGGGGACAGTGAGGCTATGGACAGCTGAGCTGAGCTGTTTTCACCCACCCATAGCTAGGAAGGTTGCTTCTGCATCACTGCTTCTATTGAGAGCAGTGGAGGGAGAACCAGCAGAAGGAGCTACAGCTAGAGGGTGCTGCTTACCTAACCCAGACAGAAGGATTTTCTGTTGCTTACACAAGTAAGGGAACAGGGACACTGAATCCTCCTCTGACTGCTGTTCTCTCTTTGCAGGTGTACCATACAGGCAGAAGACTGGAATGTCTTCTGTTAATTTCCTGCTATGAAAAGGAGAGCTGTGCATGGTGCCTGCATCTGTTAGCAGCAGCAGGAGATGGGTTGCTTAAGGAGGATGCTACCTTTTCCTGATCAAGATGGGAGAAATATTCAACAAGTGGGATACTGGCCTCCATGGTGCTCATCTCCCACCTGTTGGGTTGCCTGTTCTTGCTAGTTCAAGCCTTGCATTCCTGACTCTTGGTGAGACTAGGTCAGGACAGGGAGAATTAGATAAATAAAAACACACTTCTTCGTTATTCCAGTAGTGTCAGGGCATTCAGCCTGATGAAATCTGAGCTCTTCAATGCCAGAAAATCTGGGAGCTGACAAGTTAGGGAAGCTGTGGCAGTGCCTCAAACACAAAGCCATGCTGCTAGGGAAAATGTTAAAAGAATTTACACAGGTGACTTCCTTGGAACTCTCTAATCCAATGGATTTCTGAATTGTTTCGGCATGAGAAAGAAAAAGGGAGGAACGTGGCAGGAGGTAACATAATCTGCAACCCTGTAGCAGTACTAGATGTGAGAAGCCTTTCCAGCATGAAGGAGAAATGAGAGGGCTGGATGGTGTGAAACAGGTTCCTACAGCACTACCCCAGATTCTGTCAGTGTGACAGAGGCTGTATGTAATGAGCTGATCTGAAAACCCCTCTTCTGGATTTGAAATAGCTTACACTTGATATCAGTCAAATCATTAAAAAAAAAAAAAGAAAGAACAAAACACCTTCATGCAAAACTGGAAAAAAGCACATAACCACATATAGTTTGGCCTCATGTTCAATTAAAGTGCACGGATGGAACAGCAAGCTTATGTAGCTGTTCAGTTCATAGCAAGCGTTACCAATAGAAAGAGGGACCACTGAATACTTGCCTTTTGAGTTGGATGGTTTTAGAACACTGGTGGCTTCAGTTTTGGGTCGTGACTGCTTTTTAGTGGTCCATATAAACTGTGTGTTTAAAAGTTACTTAGTTTTGTTCGGTTTTAACATTTCTCTTTTCTTCAAACTACAGTGTAACTTAAAATGTAATCTGTGCTGAATTCAAAAATAGCTTACATATAGTTCAGTAAGGCTATGACATCTCCCATGTTTTAGATGAGAACTCACAGCATGTTTCTTCTCTTACATGCATACCCACTTTGTATTGGATAGCTATATGGTATTCATAAACTAGCAGTAGCTGTGTTATCAAGGTAGTGAATACAATAGCATAAGAAATGGGATTAATGTGTAAGCAAGTTCTTGGACTCCTGGGTCTCTTGCAGGTGGTCAGACTAAACAAGTTCTGATCTCCCTTGATAGGCAGATCCAAAGCTTAGTGCCCAGAACTGGAAATGTCTTCTTAGGTCCCAATTCTGCTCCTATTTAAGTCAATGGCAGAACTCTCACTGATTTCAATAAGAGCAGAATTGGGCCCAAAGAAATTGGTCCACAATGGTAACTAATCTCCTCTGGGTTCATTTGCTCCAGCAGTTCGTAATGGCATTATGACAGTGTGCTAGCCTGGACATGGACACTCACCGTTTAGCATTTGTGTCGATGACGATCGGCAGGTAGTCCATGACAGCTATGTACACAAACTGTTTTGCATCATCGATAACATTGTATATAGCTTCAATATCCAGGACTCTGTCCTTTGGGCAGAAGAGTTTAGGTGAATTCTGTGAAGGCAAAAATTCAAATACTGCATTTAAAATACGGGGATAGATTTTTTTCCTCCTCCCCTCCTCATACCTCCTACGATAGCAGGTACTATTCTGAATTTTAGTAGAGAATATTAACTATATCTTTACCTGTTCTGCTGGAGTACTCAAACATACAAAGACTTATTTTTCAAGGCTTAGTTTTGCCTTGAAAACTTCATCATTTAGATATAACTGGTTAAAACACAGACAGCACAAGCGTGAAAGCAGCGCAGAAACTCTCATTGAAGTTTTCACATTTCAGAGAATTTTGTTGCAGAGTTCCAGGACTGGTTACTGTCAGATGGTCCTGTTTATAGTACCACACAGTCACCATTTGCTCAGTCACTGTTGTAGGGAGATGCTGCAGTTTTGCAAGAAACTTACCTTTAAAATCTAGCTTCAGGTATGGAGTAACTCTGTACCTGGCACTGTGCCTAGGGCAGCAGGGCAGCCAGGCGAAATCTCCCGGGATCACCTGTCTGCAGCAGAGAGGCCAGGGAGCTTCTGCTCTCCTGCCCGAGCAGAGAGAAGAGGTGGAGCTGCTGCCACACTGCTTGCAGCTCCTGAGAGCAGAGGCTGATAAAGGTTGGTTGCAGAGCGCAGGCAGGGGCCAGTTACAGCCTGCTGCTGCTGTACCACCTCACCTTTGTTATCTGCAAGGTTGGCATTCAGACATCTAGATGACTATGTTTTCTTTAGGAGGGATTGACTTTTTTTTTCTTTCTAAACAATACCTGTCACCTTAGTGCCTTAAGCCTTGATTGGTGTTAAAGATTTACTACAGATAAAGAAGTTAGTAAAATATGAGAAAATTAACAGTAGCAAGATTTCAAGACCAATATTCTGGATGCATTCCTGAACACTAAGAAAACAACCCAAACCTCCTATGTTTTATCAGCTGGTCTGGAAGATGATTTTGTTGCTAAGCAACATCACAGCCATGATTCCTGACTCTTAAGAAAAAAGTTCAATGACTTAATGCTGTCCTTGTTGTTTTACACAGCACAAAGATGGAAAGCAAAATACATAAAATACATTTTTCAAAGAATAAATTTGGACTCACGAAGAAGTGTAAAGTGATTTTGTTAAACATACTTGATATCTAGTATCTGAAACAAAGAGGCTATTGCATGATTCTTATGCTCAATATTTTCTTGAATAGAAATTTTAAGCTACAGCCAGAACAGCTAAAGAACAAAATTGTTAACTCATTCTCATTTTCAGATGCATTCACTATGAAGACCAGAAAGCCAAAGACATTTAGAAGAAAAACATTGGTTCTGCCTGTAACGCTTGTGATACATTTCCATTCATTAACATTCCACTAGTTTGCTTGTGGTATGGGCAGCCCACTCTGGTCATTTTAGTACTTTCTTGGTATTAGCTGGGCAGTACTTGATGTGCTGATGAACACCTGCCTGGCACATCTCTATCATAAGGAGGAAGTGAGATGTGTTTCCTAACGGTGCATATTTGATGGTCACTGTCTCCCTCCATACAGGCACAAGGCCTCTAACAATCTCAAAGCACATCATGTTGGCAATACACAGTGTGATAAACAAGATCCTTGGTTGGCAAGATCTCTAAATTCCTTCCTTGCCCTACACAGTCCTCATGCAGTAGCTATAGGGAGCTAATTCAGACCAGGCTGTTCAAGTAGGTTCAGTAGTAGGTAGGTGCTCCTCACTGTGAGCAGTTTTTTCCAATGGCATCAGAACAGTATATGTCAGAACAACGTATATGGAAGTCATTTAGTTACATTAAAGCCCATTTTGCAGCCTGTTCATACAGAAGAAAAGTTACTTTTTTTTTCTTATGATAGATATCCTAGTAACTAAACTGGCTGTGACTACATATTAAGGTAACTCCTGGTATTGGACTTAGCTGATCTGAGCTTCTGAGTAGAATAACTCCTTCCTTTTGTTTTCTGAATAGGATTTCAAGACAAGAGGCCTTTGTCTCCCACAGAAAAGGAGAACACATCAGAGGGAAGAAGTGCACATTCTGCCAATTGCATGCAGAAGAGCAGTTTCTGTAAGTCTGTGTTCACTTGTCTTTGTCTAGGATTCCGTGTCCCTTAAAGTTGGCCTCGCCCAGCTTTCACTACTGTGCACCCTTGCAGGAATGGCTTTCAGAAGGATTTCTCCATTTCTTACAGATTGCTTAGAAAGGAGTAGGAGTTCACACGCTAGTTCCAATAATGGCAACTACTTCAGGTGGAATTAATTTCAGAGCTCCTCAGCTATCTGTTAAAAAGGCAGTTTTCTAATTTAACCTAGTCTAGGGACTAGCTTAATCTTAAGCTAATGGAGACTAGCTTAATTAAGACTCTCCGAAATCAGTGGAAGTACATGTATCTTCATAAGATTATTAATTTCTGTCTGTCTCGGGCACTTCCAGATTTTCAGTCATTTCATTTTGGAAAAGCTCTTTGTCTCTTGAATGACTTTAGGAGTGTTAAAATCCTGGACTCCTGTCTTTTCCATGTCTCTCTCCCACCAGGTGAAGTTACCCTGCCCCATTTGACTGTCTGCACCACCGTCTTGTGCTAGTGGCTCACACAACTTGTGTGCTACATACCTTGTGTTGTTTTAGACTTACCTGGCAATGAAATGGTGGGGGTTTCCCCTTGTTTTATGCAGAATGGTAAGTAACTCTTTATCATCTTCAGTATATTCCTGATTTTGAAGTTTCTTTTTAACTCACGTTATCTCCAAAATGAAAGATACTCTATCTTCCATTACCTCTATCAGCCTGTGTACTTTTTTCCAGTTTTGCTACATCACCTCTTAGATGGATGACTGTTCCATTTCTTCCCATTAAAAATACACACAGTGCTTCCACAGGGACTGCTACTTGAATTTTAGAAGTTTCAAAATATCATTTAAAAATAAAAGTAGATAATGTTCTACAGAAGCATGAATGCTCTGTAGGGAACAGTCAAGAGGACCAATACTTAGAAATAACACGGATAAAAATCCAAGTTCTGATATCAAGATTATTATAAATAATTTTAGATATCTGATTTACAATTTATTTACTCCAAGTCATTCACCTTATATCCGCTAGTGTAAATAAATCAGCTAATTTGAAAGGCCTCCATATCATTTTCTGAATGCAAGAGGAAAAGCGAAATTTACAGAAAAGGAAAAAGAATAATGCACACGTTCTTCAGCAGTTTTCAGTCCTGTCAAATTTCAGAATGAAATCAGAATGAAAAAAATAAACTGTGATTTGTTTGTTCTGCACCATAAAAAAAGGTAACACTTTTTAAAAAGCTTTCAACTATTGAAGTAACCACTTCTCCAGACAGCAGAATAATGCATAGGTGACAACCATAGTAGTCTTTTCTCTGTAGCTGAGTTTCCAGTCACTTGCATGAGTCTCATTGTTAATAGCTGCTTCTGGCTTAGTACATGACAGTAATGTGCATCTTTTTCAGTTAGGGCCAATTGAGAGAAATGCTTAAGTACAGGCGTAATCTACACCACATGTTCCTATTAATGATAATTTCCATCAGTAGTCCTGTTAATTTCTAATGGCTTTATACGCCTTTCTGAACACACGTTCTTTTTTTTTTTTTTTAACATTAGAAAAGAAAATAGAAGATATAAAAGCAAAGGTACTCAAATGTAGAAGTAAAACTCCTTTTCTCCAGCTTATGTCAGAGAGAACACAACAATGTAATGGACTTCATGCAGGGAACTGAAAATCTGTATCAGTGAAGAGACATTAGAGTTTTTTCATACATGCTACTGAGACCTATCTAACCCAGTCCCACCACTCTGTTTTTTAATAGAAGAGACTGTTAGGAGAGTAAGCAGATGTTATATTTCTGGTCTTCCAAAAGTCTGATGAGATAAATAAGATTCTTCCCTTCCCACCCTCCCTGCAATTCATTTCAGAACTTACCGACACAAAAGCTTCTGATTTAGTCTCATTCAGCTGCAGTGTCAGTTTATTCTGAGTATCGTACACTCCATATAGTCTCTTAGACCAACTTGGAGGTATTTTATTCTTGTATTTTAATGAACTGTACAGGGCAAATATCCTTTGTAAATCCAGGACGAGGCAGCTGCAGTTGTATACGATGACGCCAAGTTCCTTCATCTGTGAAATTAAAGGTTCATATTATTAGTGGTATTTTGGCTGAGGGTTCTGTAGAAATAGGCAGTAAGAACATCAACAGTTTCTGAAGGGTACCTTGTACTCAGCAGTATTACTGTCAACAACAGGAACATCCATAACAACACTTTTTTCAAAGGCAAAGGCATAAGCTAAATTTTCAAAGTCAAAAGCAGGCAAAAGCTGTAACAGGGCTTGTATGCGCAGTGTGTGTCGCAGCCTCACGCCCTGACAGAACACAACACACCTGGCAGATGGACACAACTCCAGAGTGATACCCGTTTATCACAGGCACCATTTTTCCTGTAGGTGTTTCTCAAACTTACTGCTTTTGGCTGTGGTGTTTTTTATTTTTAATTTATTTCTTGTTTACAGGAAAAGCATCCTCTCTGCTAGGTGACAGTTTCTTACTTCAGAAACAATTTATCTTCTCTGACATGCAGAAAATCTGAAAGCAATGAACTCATTTATTGGCTGAAGAAGAAATATGATGCTTCAGTTTCCAATACGAGGATGAAAAACAGTTTTTTAATACTCTGAGTAGCTAAATTGATTGTGCTATTATACGCAGCATTATCCAGTATAGAGTACAACCAGTTAGCACACAAAAAGGTTTGATTCTCAGCTCCACCATTGGAACGGTATCTCACTAAGGTTCATCAGATTTCTGTTTGTCAGTTCCTTCACATGTGAAAACAGAGACAGTGAAGCACTTCAAAAGCAGCACCCTTCTCACATGTAGAAGCATGAGGAAAAACAGCCCAAATAAATACAGATACCATGGTACAATTAAATGACTTAACCTTAACAGCCTTCCTGCTCCATTTACCTGAAGGTATGTCTCCTGATTATCCTAAGTCTTGTCAGAGATCTCATTAACTACACATGCCCAGTACTTCTGTGTTGATAGAATTTCACTTATAAGTGTATTTTCTGGATTCTGTAATCAAAGTGTTAACGCACTCACACCCTCTCTCCCTTCTGTTGCTTTATATCATCTCAGGAAAGCACTGCTACAGACACATATGCTATTGACCTCTCATTATCTGCATTTCACACCAGTTCAACCATCTCCAAAAATCAAGGAGACAACCTGCATGTACCTGTTGAAAAGCAGTATGTAGGATAAATATTTAAAGGACCCATGCTGCTTTTCTGCAAGCAGACTTTCTTGGTAGCATGTCTTAGAAGTCTCTCTTGCATGATGAACAAAATAAGGAGGCTATGAACTCGCCAGCATGTTCATCCATTTAGCAGCACCAAAATTTCCTCGTTGGTTTCATTCCCTCAGATGAGTTCTCCACAATCATATGGGGGTAGTTTCTGGTAGGGACGTGTCTTTCTGTAAAGCCTGTGTGAACTCTGAACCCATGCTGTTATCTCAGAGCTTGTTCCTGCATAGCTCTCCCTGACTACAGATGAGAAACGCTCTGTATGAGTGGGTAGAGGAAGGGAAGTGAAGGATAGAGTTGAACCTTTGCTCTTTTTCTGTACTCTTTTTCAACAAATCCCAATAATCCGATGTGAAAGAAACGTGATGGGTGGCAGGTACTTCAAGTCCCTGGATTGAAAATACTGCATACATAAGAACATACAACTCGTAGCAATCTCATTCCCAAATACTTACTGAATAGTCCTGTGTCCCCCCCCGCCCTCCCCTCCCCCAGAACATTACCTAATAATCTTACTGCCTAACTATTAATATTTCCACTAGCTTCTTTAATTTAATTTAGAAAAAATACAAAATTCCTGTATTAGCCTGCACAACCTGCAATTTCTGGGTAGCTGGAAAACAGACTACTTACTGCACTGCAGCCTTCCTTTTATGAGTAAGCTGGTAAATTTATTTTGATGATAAATATAATTTATTCCATGCTGCGCCCAGCATCCTAGTCAAACAGGCTATTGGGAATAAAAGATGTTATTCCCAATAACATCTTTGACTTTTTTCCCCTGGGTGCTGGTATCTCTGGGGACACTCCTGTATTCAGCTTAAGGCCGTCCTGGTCCTCCACACGCTGTTTGTCTCCAAACATTTTTAACTATACGTTACCTCCGTTTTCACTGTGTATCAGCCAATACTCCTCTCTTAATTGCCAGGCACGCCATTGCAAAGGACTTACTAATAGTATTCTGTTACATGTATCTGCATAATGTGATTTAATTGGCTTTTCATGGCCGTTACTTGATTCTGACATAATTATGTGGTTACAGTTTTCCTTTCATTTATCAGTCCCATTATTACTAGCCCACTTTATCCCTTCCACTAAAAGTAAAGATAAAACAATGTCCTAACAATGCACCAGAAGCTGGTGCATTGTTAGGAAGCCTTGCGTCCATGTGCGCAGCTCTCCTGAGAGGAGAGCTTGCAGTGTCCTCCCTGTCGGTGCACTAGGGGATTGCCCTTCCACCTTAGCGCTTCTCCCGGTGGGGAGGTAAGGAGGAAGCCCAGCAGTGCATTTCAGTGCAGTTTGGCAGGCCTCCCCGCAGCCTGGTGCAGCTCCAGCATAGCCAGGCACTGCCAGCGGCCTCTGGACAGGCCCGGCTGCAGCAGCTGCTGGGCACCCTGGTGCAGGCTCCGCACTCCCCACCCAAATCGCAGGCTGGAGCGATGCCAGTTCAAGATGCATTTACAGCACGCCCTGAACCCTGGCTTCCCATCATGTGGCATCTCACGGTTGGCTTCCCTGGAGGCAAGCGCTGGTGAGAGCTTCCCCTGCCTCTGAAGCTGTGAGGAGAGCTCTCCCCCACACGGGTGGTCCGTGGTACAGCCTGGGCTCCTCCTTTCCCTCTCCAGGAAAACAGCTGCTCTTTCCACACAGCTGCCTGCTTTTATGGACTCAAGTTCAAATTTGCCAGAACTTGGGAAATAGATTTAAAGTTATCAGAAGAGGGCAGACAGCGACTCACATGTGTACTGTGCAGAGCTCATTTCCTTAGGAAAACAGGTTAGATGGCAGTCTGTTGGCTCGTTACAGTCTGGTTCAAGTGCCAGTCACCTTACAGCACAAAATAAGAACAGCACAAACAATGCACATTTGTATGCGTCAAAACCTCAGCCTCCTCCTCCCTTGTGGAATCACTCTAAGTCAGTTTGGAAACCAAAAAAATGTGCTGCTTCAGGAGCGTCTTCCACACCAAGCCTATTTTTACTCCCATACTCTGAGGTGAGGAGAGACTGCTCTTTTTCCAATTAATCACAGAGCCTATCATCCTGGAGGCACTTCAGAGAGTGGGCTGCAAGGATGTGGTGGTGACAGATTTAGTACGAAGGGGTATGTCATCTAGATAAGGGAAGATATTTTCTCTTCAGTTTGAGAGCTGCTGTTATTACAGACTATTCTTTTTTTCCAAACAGTCTCAGAGGAGAAGAAGAAAAAAGACTTATATTGAAAGAATCAAAATCTTTGTGTCAGTCCCTGACTGAATTCCAGTGACTGAAACCTGTAGCTAAGCATCGTCAGAGATACATTCTATGGTAAAATCCTCCAGGGAAAGAGCTCATAAAGCAAGGAAAGTATTTCTTCATCTTGAGTTTTAAAAGCAACTTACCCAGTAATGAAAGCATCAGTGAAAAATTAAAGTGAAGAAGGTCTCAAGAAATTAAAACCTTAATTAGTCTAAGGAAGATAATTCTGAAATGAAAATACTCGCAAATTTGATTGCCTCAAAATGGAACTGAAATACAAGGATGTGAAAGTCACAAAGTTGCTTGTGAGTGACATTTTCAGAGTATGTGTTGGGATCTGAGGACTGGAGTGGTTTCCTGGATAGGGAATTTTGAGTCCTCTCCCTTTTTGTTAAGATCCCCGAGTGCTCTTCTCAAAGAATGAAAAACACTGGAGCGAGTTGCTCCTCGTTCTTTCCCATGCCATTTCCATGTGTGCAGAGCAGCTATTAAAGGCTACCAAACCAGCATTTGTCTTTCTTGCCAGTAAGTGCTTTCTTAAACTACCAGGAGTGAATGGTTAACAAGGACTCAAGAAAAAATTAGAGTGGCTTACAGCCACCATACAATGATGCTCTACCTACAGAAACAAGTTACGCTACAAAAAATAATAAATATGGCCTAGCTAGGAAAATGATTTTTATCACAAGAGGATGAATGCCTTACTGGACTGGACAAAAAGATTTCGCTAACAGAAATTTCTACTTATGCTTTCCTCTTTTACATTTGTAGGTGTCACATACCAAATGAGAAAAACCAGGGGATAGAATCTAAAGCAATACAGGTGTGGACCCATCACACTAAGTTCCATAAACTGAGAAACAGTAAGACTTTGCAAATATATTTGGATCATGGGTCAGGGTGGCACATTATGTCCTTAGCCTGCACTGCACAGACCAGACAGTGTGTTCTATATTTACCTTGGGATACACTCTAGGAAACAACCCCACTGTGTAGGCAAGGTACTATCTGACCTACATAAGAGTGGCACAATCTGGTTCACAGCTTGCAATATCTGTGTTGTGGTAAATGTAGCAGGAGGCTTCAGAAAATTCCGTATTCTAAACTCCTAGATTATTCTAATTCTTTCTTCTAAAAATGTTTTTAATGATTGCTCTCTCTCAAGCCTGATCATGAAAACACTGTGCAGCTCTCCTGAGCATTAACTGCCATTTGCCCAAAAGCTCTGTCAACCTCCAGGTGCCAGGCATCCATTGCCTGTGTTAGAGAAACACTGGATTAAACTACAGGTAGTCTACTGAACATTAAATTTACTCAGTAGACCTTTTATATATAGGACTGTGTGTGCATTTGCCACCTGTCTGCCATTTGCCTATGTTTGAAAATGTATTTCATTATCCTTTTAGACCTGTGGGGTTTTTAATGACCAATTTCCAAACGAACGACTGAGCAAAACCAGAATCACAACACTGTAGGCTAACAGAGTAACAAAAAGCATGCGGTACTGATATATCAATTACTAAGACCTAAGAATTTCTATAGCTTCTAAACAAAAATAATAGACAATGCATTAATTACCACCTTAGAGCAGACCACATACATTTTCAGGGGTACACTCACTATCTTTTTGTAAAATATGCCATAAACATGTGGTTAGCCTGTGCTCCAAACACACGATTCCTTTTCGCTTGGTGTTACCAGCATCACCTGTTCCCTACCGCAAGCCTTCCTCTTGTTTTCATCTGGTAGCAGTTAATGCTGAGCAAATCTTTTCAGATCATACCTAGCATCATCTTAAGGCTGCCTTCTACATGGCTGTTTGGCATCTCCTGCCAAAATCTGCTGTTGATACATGGCCAGACACAGGTGACACTGGCACGGGAACCTTGGCGGTGGTGCCGGAGGGGGAGGGTGCCGAGACGGGAGCGACCATCACCAAGGGAGAGAGAGGCAAGGAGATTTGAGAAAGGTAAAAGCATTTTGTGTGTAGTAGTGTTTGACGGGACTGTTGTAGCAGACTTGGCTGTAACAGGATTACAGGAGCCGTGCTCATCACAAATTCATTAGGTGTAACAGACCCCACTCAGGTAGCTGCCACTGTGATGTACAACAAAAACGCAACCCGCCTCTGAAGAGGCTGTGAAGGCTGCAGCACAGCCTGCCTCTCTCACGCAAAACAGATGCAGGTATTAGAACCCACCAGAATAGCAAAGCACATACCTCGGCTAACACTTCACTAGAAATTGTAACCTATCCTTGTGCATCCTGAGCCAAAACACTCCCCTCCGTGCTTGGCTAGTAATACACTGCCGAGGCTTCACGGCTTTGTTATGTTAAAAACAAAAGATAAAATTCAGTGAAATCCAAACCCAGCACAGTCCTGCTTCTATTTTTTTCCTTCCACATTGATAAGAACATGGGACCTATGCTACTGTTGGGAAATAATAGATTAATACAAATGGTAAAGCACTATATTCTCAGGTGGTGAGTAAAACTCTTGTCTCACGTAAGGTGACTGTAAGTGTAAAATCTAAATTTACAGCATCTGTGGATGTAAAAAAATTGTCTAGGGCAAAATTATTTTTCTTACTTGAGTTCCCTGTTATTCTGAAAACCTCGTAGTGCTTTTGATTTAGGAATTCAAACATTAAATTTTGAAATTAACTGTTACAATAATACTATTGTTCCTGTTTTCTGTAGGCAATTTCACTGAATAAATGGCATTTTAAAATCCCTAGAATTTAACTCAACCATTCTCCAGCAAATCACCTTGTAAGACCTGTACCTGGCTCTCTCTTGTGCCTGGCCTATGTCCCACAATTGCATAGATGGCACCAGAATCTTCAAACGTATCACATCGTCTTCTGAGACTAGCTCTCCTGGGTGGTTTCTTTGCCAAAATATAATATTTAGAACAACAGCAACAAAGTCTCAACAATACCTTTGGAAAGGTTAACAGTTTACAGGCCTATGCGAGTTAAAACATTGAATCATAAGAAAACATAAATAGAGCCGCGGTCTAGTATTCTGCCCAGGTACTGTACTTGGACATTACTGAGAATAGGACGTTCAAGTTTCTGCAAGGTCCAAATGTAGGTTAAAAAAAAAAAAAAGTTGATGAGCAATAATAGAATCACACAGGACATACAAAGTCAAGAGTACGTTCAAGAGCATGTAGCTCACCCTTGAAATTTGGACAATAGCAAGTTTATCCAAGTTTAACACTCTTACTAGGAGAGCAAATGGGGGAGCTTTACCACTGTAGCACTGACAAGGGCATTTTAAAAATCTTTGCACATGAAGAGTCTTTCTAGGCTCATGACTTTCTAAAGACTACCACAGTAAAGAAGAAAATATTACCAAGCTATATGAAAGACAATATAACCAGCCCCCTGAAGGCATTAATAACTCTCCTTTCTACAGAAGGTTTCAGTAGCATGCAGTAAAGCCACCTGTTCAACTATAAAATGAAATATTGAGGGTGCTGATTCAGTATCTACAGCCCATTGCACACCTGCATGAAATAGGGATGTTGGGGAAAAACAATTATGGTCATGTAAATAAAGGTTATTGCAGCACCCATCCACAAATTAACGTTTCAGAGAGTTTTTGTGTCTGTGTGTCATTTCTGCACTTTGGCAGCTTTAACATGCTGGTTCAGTATTAGAAGAATTCTGCCTAAAGAATTCTTTAGTTTTGTTTCTTACTGAATCAGCTTTCTGAACTGGTAGAATTTCACATGCACCCGTACCATGGCCCAGTCTGGGAGCTTCCCAATTCTGGGCTGCTCCTAGTCCAGGCTTTTCTCCAAGTGAAGTTGTTCACTCCAGTGACAAGCCAGTGCCTACCCCCAACATTGTTACCATCCAAGGCTAAAGGTTAATTCTCCATCATCTGGGTTCTAAGGGATTTGGAAATAATTGGCAGGCAGATTTCTACTGAACTAGAAAAAAGATCCCTTCCACTTGACATCAAAATAAAGTCTCAGCCTGAGCTGGGAACTTGATCCCATCAGTGAAAATGGAAAACTGTCATTCAAGTCACTGTACTGAAAATAAACCTCAATGCGTGACCGAGGAGAGAGAATGCATTCGATACGCAAGGCACACAGCATTTGCACTGAATGTCGGAATAAAGCCGTGACATGCTCTCACAAAAAGAACAGAAGGGACGTACAGATGGACCAGCTGTGCCCTGATGACGTGCATTTGAATTGGCAGCCTCTATCCCTTCACTGGTCTCTAATTCTCACCTTCAGCAAGTCCATTTGATAGATCACCAGTCTGTGGGTCTTGCCAATTGAAAGTTCCAGGGAAACTGCAACTTCATACTTTATTTTTACTTTATTTCCTAATGGTAAAAAGCTGCTATGATAAGGCATAGAAGATAATTCAAGAACTGCTAATTTTTGTGTCCAGTTCCTTTTTTTTTTTTTTTTTTGCTGGTCCACACACAGGTCAAGAACACAGAATTGCACAGTGATGCTCTACTAATTTCCACTTCACCTTACATTCGGTAGATGGCCCTTCCATTATTCTGCACAGCACCCTGATCTTAGGGAAACTTTGCTCAATAACAGTCAGTTCAGCATTTCATCTCTGCTGAAAGATACTGCCACAGAGAGGCAGAATAAGCGAGGCAAACAATGAAGGGGGGATTTCTTTAAAATGGCATGGCTTAAAGAGAACTTTGTGGGGAAGAGATAGCAACGCTGCTTCAGAGCAGAAAATGAGAAATCCCATGTCCTTGCCACATTAGAAAACACAACCATCACAATTTTTATGTCAGCCATCTGCTCATGGATAAAGAAAATCCATCAAAAATATATGCATTCATACAAATAGAATAAATAACATTTGTTTAAACCATGGACCACTGTGTGGTGATGCTCACGTAGAACTCAGTGCCGAGAGTGGAAGTTTGGGCTTTGCTGCTGCTGTTGATGATGCTCACCAACAAACCAAGTGTGACACATCACTACTTGTCAGAGAAAGCCAGAAGGCAGAACTGAATCAGTTAAAAATTCCTTGCTATGTATACCATCAGCATAATTAATATCACTTGGCATAATCACAGCCTAATTTATCATTTTCAAATGACTTTTCAGTTTACAGTTTCATTACCCCCTCAAAGCAAGCACAAGTGTCTCTTCAGGGAAAAACCAAACTTGAAACTGCAAGAAACCATTTTGCCAGAATCACATTTGATTTATTTCTTGTTTTACTGTAGGAAATCTAATTAATGTGAATTCTAATTTGATTCTCTTTCTCTTTTCAAATGCAGTTTTTGTTCCTTATATTAAAGGAAAGCACAGGCTAGGAAGAAAAGGACCACATTGTGCTGGCCTTCATTTCACCGCTGGCAAGCCGCAGCACATTTTGGTGCTAGTGTCACTCATGAAATTCAACAATTCGCTACCTCACTGGAACCATAGAAAATTAAAAGGTGTTCTGAAGGAGCCTGCTAGCTTCTGGAAAAGCCTGGAATCTCCTTTACTGCACACATGCGCATACATCCCGCTGCCTCTTTGCATCTCTCCTGCATCAGAGCCTGTATCGCCCTCCTGTCAGCCCTTATCGTGCAGCCTCCTCACGCAGCTGGAAACCAAAGCACGAGCTCTTAGTATTTGTTCTCATCCTCAGCAGTGCTGCAAGGGGCAGCCTCCCTACGTCTTCTGCTGTACGACACTGAGAGGAGAGCACAGAGGACTGGCCTCAGAATAAAGGCAGTATTTATCCAAACCTTTTCTCTCAAAGCACACGGTTTCTTTGGGGCTTTCAGATTCGCGGGCATCAGGGAAATGCAGCAGCACGTAGTTTTGACTAATTGGATGCATTATTTATAACATCACTGACACACACACAGGGTTTTCATTTTACATACTGAATAGAGATTGGTGGCAGGCGTGCTGTGGACACAAACTGGGACAATGACATTACATATGAATTACTGCTGTAACTGTTCAGCCTTGCCAGGCTACCTGATCAGACTTAGAAACCTCTTCCCTTGATGTCAACGGAGGGCCAAAGGCTCTAATTAACTTCTGAACCTTGATTAAATGAAGTATACAGGGCCTTGAGGTAAGTTAGAAATCCGACCAGTTTAGACAGGTAATTTAGCAAAATATTACACAGGCAGCCCCAGGATAACGGCTAGCCGATATGAAAATGTTTCAGAAATCCATGCTTGCTCTTTGTTCATATTCTTTTTTAGTAGCCAGTTTACTATTTTTGGTTGCTTCAACAAGGAAGCAATCTCTGCCGTAAAGATGTGGGCCTGCTATATTCTCCTAGGAAGAAAACTTGGAATTAAATTCATACATCATATTCCTGTCTCCTGACCCTAACTGCAGAACACATTGATGCACGTTGCCTTAGTTTCACTGTGTTCCACTTACCTTTGGGTCATCTGAAAAGCCTCCTGGTACTTGGTTAACTGGATTCAGCTGAGGTGTCAGCTGGCTGCCACTACATAAACAAATAGTAATAATGCAAGCTGTGTCTATATCATCATGGAAAGGGGGAAATAAATCTGTTTATTGTTTAAGGAGAAAAAAACGGGTCATGACCTATCTCAAACATGGCAGATATAACCCTATATATGTAACAGTGTATTTTCTTAATAATGTTGTATAACAGCCCATGTGCAAGAAGCAGAAATTCTGTGTCAAAGATGTCAGAGATCAAATATGCTAATAAAAGCATGGTATCTACTTAAATAGCTCTTACATGAGTTAACATTGAACAGAATAAAGAAGAAACAAAAACCAACTGTGAGAACATTGTCTTAATGCCATTGCTGCCTGCAATGTTGGGTAATAATCACTTTATAGGAAGAGGAAGGAAATACCTGAAAAGATACCTGAGGATATGTTATTCCAATTCTGCATCACCACTCACAGTCTGAAAACTGGAAAATACATGTATATATTTTTTTTCTCACATAATTTCTAGTTTGAGTTGTTATGGCACGTATAGATTTAAAGGCTAATAAAATACCAGTCACAAAGATGATAAAAATGTTTCCAATACGCTACACTAATAAGCAGAATGTACATCACAAAACTATTTTGTGTGTTTATGATGTATATACATGGTATATACATGTGCTGTACCCATGCAGCAGAGCTACACACAAAATGATTTGCTACCAAAGAAACGTACCATACCATTAAATTTGAAAGAAATGCTAATTAAATCATTATATTACAAAACATTAAAATATATTTAAAACAATAATGTATAAAGTAAATAAAATACATTAAAATAACAAAATAAAATAAAAGATAATAAAAATAATTAAATCATTATATTACACAAATTTCCCCAATAGAGGAATTCTCACAGCTTGTGAAACCTCCTGCAGACACCCCTCACACTTCTGTTTGCCCATGCTGCCCGCCCCGTGCACCTTCCTCAAGCAGTGATCCAGTTTGCCACAGAGCAATTCCAGGCAAACACAAACGATTTCACTGCTTTGGTGAGTGTTGTTTACTTCGCAAAGTTAAGAAAGGTGCCTGCACGATGACTTCCGAATTCTGCCTTAATGTTTGTGAAGACAGTATCAAAATATGAACAGGTTTAGAGGTTAACTCCGCATATTCATATGGACGGACTGCTTTGTCACAATCTATTCGGTTCTGCTTGCAATTTGTGTAGCATATAGGAAGATGAGGTTTTATGCTGCACTTCAGAGCCATTATTCCTTTCACAGAATGACTGAAATGGTTGTCCTTCCTCGCTGTACTCCTGGAGATCTATGGCCCTGTATTTCAGCCTGATTTACCATGTCTTTTTCACAGGACAATACTAAACCCAGTTTTCCCTGAAAGGCTCCCTGTTAAAACAAGGTGGCTGAGCTGCTGCACCGGGGAACCTTTAGGGGTTGAGGCAGCTGTGCATGAAGGTGTTTGTCTAGAAGAGAGCTCTGTGCAATACCGAAGTACACACGTGTGGGTGGAACCACCGACATACTGGGAATATACATTCATGATTATTTTAATGTTGTTATTTTAATTGTTTACTTGAACGAGGCTGATCTGATGGGGTATGCTAATAACTAATCCCTCTGAGAGGAATCCGCCTCCATTCATTAACATTACTGACCAAGATTAGTTGCCAGCAAGTTCTTGTGGGAGATGACAGAACAGGCTGTGGTGCATTAGCTCCCCCCGCAGAGATTCAGCTGGGTTTTAATGAACAAGTTCTCTTTCAGCACAACATCAATCACATCCTTGGGAAAGCAGGGAATTTACAGCCTTTCTTCTATCCTCAAAAGTCTACTTATTTCAGACTGTACCACCGGCTGTTGAGCTTGGTGCTGGGACCACTGGATCTGAGTGTAGGGTCTGTCAGTTGTCCAGAACAGACAACGTGGCTGTAGACCTCATCGGTCTTTAGAGCTGTGACTCTGGAGATACCTACCCCTTGGATGCTGAACTCCAGCTGTAGCTTTGCATGAGCCAGCCCGGCACAGACACACAGCACAAACACGTTTAGCTCTGCCCGTGCAGTTTGGTTCAGACTGGAGAGCAGAGGTGCTCAGGCAGGCGCTGCCCCACTTTGTGCAGGCGGCCGGCAAGCTGCGCCAGCACAGACACCGCACAGCCCCTCTCTAGCACAGTGCCTGCAGGAATACACCTTACCTTTCTCAGCACGTCTCACTGTTTCAGGGTTTCTTAACGTGGATGAAATGACAGGATTTGCACTTGTAAACGTGCTTGGTTGCAGGGCCTACGAACTCAAGTCGAGCCCAGTTTGGGGCCATCTGCTTTACTGTTCACTGCAGACAGGCCTTACAGAGACTTGCTGGAAACAACTCTCACCACAGTGACCAATGCCTTTTATTTTTTGCCTCTTCTCAATAGTTTAACCCTTAGGCTACTGAGTTTTATCTCTTAAGCTTTGACTCCTGCAAGCACGTCTCAGCAGTACTGTCAGTTCACCACTCTGCCTGCCTGTTTTCTTCAGGACAGCAGCAGTGGACCTTAACGCTGCCAGCAGCATAGTTGTCTCGATGATTTTTCTGTCTTCTGTATGATGGCATACAGTGTACGCCACTGAGATCCTGCTTGCCTGCAGTTCCCTGCATGCTTCTAGAAGCCACCCAAAGCTCTTGAGCCCTATAATCCTAATGCACTGATATTATTTGTCAGGTATCTGAGGGACCACACACAAACCAGAGCCAGAGACACTCTCTTTGCAAAATCTTCTTTGACTCTTAGTTGTTCTGAAATGTAGTAATGACATGGCAAGTATTAAAAAGCAAGCAAGCAAGCAATTATGAGGTTATTTTTTACTGGAGAAAAACGTTTTTCTTTGGACTTCGGAGCTCCAACTACATGAGTATCCCACAAAGTTGTGTAAAGAAATGACTAACTGTTCAAAGCAGATGTTTCATCATGTTCTGTAGGCTTAATTTTCACTGATTTATCCAATTTATTACTGATTACTCCAATGGTAGGTAAACCTGTTCTACTGAACTTTCACAACAAATAAAAATGAGAAAAAAATAGGTATCTAATTTAAAAGGCCAGAGAGAGTGATGAGCACGCTCCTACAGTTAACAGAAATCAAATAAAAATATGCAGCAAGCTGGGGTTTGCCCTGACTGACACTAAATGCAAAGACACAATGCATATGACATGTGGGAATAGAGCACGACATAAGGAGATCTATGCTAATGGGAATGCTGCAGCACTCGGGGTAACGCCTTCCTATCACCTCGCAGCTGGGGATCTAGAGGAACTATCAAAGCCGGCAGAGCATGGGAAGTCTTTTTGGCTTGAAGGGCAAGGAGAATATACAGCTCCAGGCTGTTTGTACTCTATCAAAAAAACAGAAACCCGCAGAAGTAAGGAGGAACAAGAGCACTGCCAGGCAGCAACAGAAACACTCACAAAACACAGCGCAGCAACCACGTTACCAATATTCCTGTCCGGCTTTAACCAGCCTTCTGTTTGCATTGCACATAATGCTAGTGAGAGACAAAACAGCCCATTTGCTTCACTGAGGTTCATTTGTAAATACTGGATGGCCGGGTAATAAATTTCAAGCATAGTAAGCCTAATGGGCAGGGCTGACTGTCCTGATCTACTGGATGTAAAACCAAAACAAAACAGGTCTGTCTCAGTTAAACCAAAACACCAGGCTTCCAAAAATGCAAACCCTGCACCATGATAAATACACATCGTGAGTTCTGCACGTTTCAAGGGCAGTATGTCTCTTGCCGCATCCCCACCCAGAAGAAAAGAAGGGAAAAAAAAAAAAAAAAAGACAAAGGAAAAGGGAAAGTTGCTATCACGGAGAAATAGACCGGTCATCAAACTATTCTAGATTTGATTAAAAAGGGAGACCCTGGCCAAAAGCTCTTAGCAAAAAAACAGTAAGTATATTTTCAGTCTGTCTTTTGGAAGACAAGCTGTAATAACTTCACAGCAGAGCTTTGACAATCCAACTGGCTTTCTGTAGTGTGAGATGTAAAAACAAAAAAGGAATTTAATTGTCAATACAACTCTGTAATATCTACTGAGACACATTTTTTTCACATCTTGACTCATCCACCTGTGCTTATAGATCTAGGTTGTGTTTTTATCTTACCTTTATAATATTAGCTAGTTTCGGAAATAATCCCTTTGAAGTGAACTGGATTAGCAGCATGAGTATTTTCAGGATTGGATCACACAGCTAATAACATACCCAAACTTTTGGGAAGCAGATATTCTCTGTTAAATACAAGGGATAATATTTAAGACAGAAATATGAATTCAGATGGAATATACAGGTATTCTGCTGCGTGTACTTTCAGTACAACATTTATCTGTCTGAGCTTGCTTGAACCCCACTGGATGATGAAGCTGAAGGAGCCATGTTTCAAGTTATTCGACTCTTGAGACTGCGCTCAATTTACTAATAGCAATATGATACTGAACACCATGGGGACAGTAAGAAAATTAAGCAAATTATTAGAAGACAGTTAGGATTGACAATGGTCTGAAGTGCACATTAGGGACAGAACTGTAGCTCATACAAGAGCAGCATTCTATCAGAGGAAACTCTCAATATAATGTTTGCTTGAGTGAAAAGATGCAATTTCACTAAATGTCAGACAAAGCATCTTATCTCAAAAGGACCAGATGCACCATTACATAGCTTCAAGAGACTCATTTAGATAAAAGTTCAAAAAAATGACTGACTGATTATAGCATGCTTTTTGCGCTGTGCAGTTCTGTAAAGATAAGATGCAACTGTCATTAACAGAAATTGCAAATGTACAGATCCTGCCTCAGCCATCAGATTGGAGAGGCAACTCTACTATAGCAAGATTTTTTGAAAACAAATGAGATCATCATGATGTACTTTAAAGCGTATAGAAGTCCAGTACTTACTACACAGTGTTCTTATGGGAGGATAATTTAGGTCACGTAAATAATTAGAAACTACGGTTTTTAAAGACACAGTTTGAGGAAATGATCATTGCCCTTTACCTGAGAGGGAAAATGAAAATAAAATGCTCCCAGCAGCATTCAAGAGCCTCATTAATTGTGGGAAAGTTATGGTTTGGATCTGTATCCCCTGAAATGGAGGCCAAGAGAAGGAGGAGGAATCATCTGTGAGGATGAGTGGCATTACCTCCCAAGGGCTGCCCTTGAGCTGACAGGAATAGTCCTCCACATATACCTGGAACAAGACTTTTGAGTAAAGAACTAAATAGATTGCATCCCAATGATTTTAACCCCTGAGCAATCAGAGGATTGCTCCTCCAAAATTCCCACAGCACCAATTGCCTCCAAAATTCCCTTTGTGATGGAGCCTGGAGCACTGCGTGCAGCTGCAGGGCCCCAGCACGAGGACAGGGACCTGTTGGCGAGAGTCCAGAAGAGGGCCACGAGGAATAGCAGAGGGCTGGGGCACCTCTCCTATGAAGACAGGCTGAGGGACTTGGGGCTGTTCAGCCTGAAGAAGAGAAAGCTCAGGCGAGACTTCATTGCGGCCTTCCAGTACCTGAAGGCGGCCTGCAGGAAAGCTGGGGAGGGACTTTGTCAGGTAGTATAGGGATAGGACAAGGGGGAATAGCTTTAAACTAAAAGAAGGTAGGTTTA